GCCGGTGAGATTTGAACCGCCGAACTGCAGAACTGCAGTCAGCTGAAGTAGCCTGCAGTGCTGCATTTAACCACTGCGCCACCTCGGCTCTTAATGGGGAGTTGGTAGAGGGTTGTAAGTCGTGGTGCAGGTGATTTGCTTAATGACCATGGTAAAAAAATATTGTAAACTCCAGTCCCATCTCCCGTCTCACTTAATGACCACACTGATTAACAGTGATTTTTCTTCTGGCACTTATTTTGGTTGCAAGTCAAGGACAATCTGTACTTCATATTTGGAACAGATTAGCTTTATTTTAAAGCTTAATTTGTACTGATTCTTTATGGTTGGAAAGAAATCTGTATGCTTTCTTTGCAGAGCTCCTAAAATCAATACAATTCTAAATATTGTTTCTATCTTTCTTACAATAGACAGGTTATTTGGTACTTATTGCCATTATGTTGGTACTTCGCACATATTGTGACATCTGGATGATTCATAATGGAACAGTTATTGAGAGGTAAGCGTTATTTATATATGCCATTATTCTTTTATGTTACTGTATATCAGAGACTAATACTGCTATTTTTAGAAACACAGGGCATAAAATTAAACAGTGTTTAACTTAAATTAGTAAATATAGGCTTTATCCAAGTACAATACAAAATCAAAATTTCTTTCTAAGTGAACATGCCATGTTAAACCACAGACTCTCCCCTTTGCTATTATTCTTTCTTGGAGCTTCCTGGAGAACAAACTTCCACTTTTAAACTAACCAGTGTGGCTAATAGAAAAGCAAAAATCATAGTTTAAGGCTGTGATGGCGAACCTTTTTCACCTCAGGTGCCAAAAGCATGCATGCGCTATCATGCACGCTCCCGTGCCGACACCCATAATGTAATGCCCCCTGTGCCATGCCCCCTGCGCATGTGCGCATTATTCTGACCCACACATGCGCACACGGCTTTCTTGGAGCCTGGGGAGGGCGAAAATGGCCTCACTCCCCCCCTGGAGGCCCTCCAGAGGCCGGAAATGGCCCATTTCCCGACATCCAGGGGACCTGGTAGGTCCATTTTTCACACACACACCCCAGGCTCCAGAGGCTTTCTAGTAGCCTGGGGAGAGCAAAAAAAAGGCCGAACACACAAACCGGAAGTTCGGGAATGGACTTCCAGGTTGCCCATTGGGCCATTTCTTTACCCTCCGGGGACTTCAGGAGGCTTCCCTGAAGCCTCTGGAGGGGAAAAAAACAGCCCAACCCACAAACCGAAAGTCCGTCCCCGAACTTCCGGTTTGTGTGTTGGGTAGTTTTTCGCCTTCCAGAGGCTTCATGAGGCTTCCCTGAAGCCTCCGGAGGGTGAAAAATGGCCGAAAATCAAGGCCAAAAATCAGCTGGCCAGCGCACACATTTGCACTGGAGCTGACAAGGCAACATTTTGCATGCCCTCAGAAATGGCTCCACGTGCCACCTGTGGCAAGCGTGCCATAGGTTCGCCATCACAAGTTTAAGGGTTAGCCTTGCTCAACTGGTGCCCTCCAGAAGTGCAAAAACCACAATTTTCTCCCAAATCCAATACATTGGGATTTCTCTCTCGGAATTCCCATGACTATCAGTTATGTTGACTGCAGAGGTGGGTTCCTAGCAGTTCGCACCAGTTCGGTGGAACCGGTTCGTCAAATCTACCGAACCGGTTAGAAGAGGTTCCACCACTGGACCGCGAAAG